GTTCTTTCTAAGTGAAAATTTGCTGAAGGCTTCAGAAAGTTTGTCGAAAATGAATTATTAGGTCAAAGGCAGCATTCAGGACGGATGTCGAAAAAGAAATCAAACGTAGTAAAAAACAAATGAAATTGTGGTAACTCGATAACCAGAACGTAATCGGTGACTATAAACATTAAAAGTTATTTATAAATAATTCATACAAAGATTCAAGTAACAGAAAGCATTAAAACCAAACAAACTTCCTGGTCACACCAGCTCTTATCTCAAAATAATATCTCAGTTGTTACAGTTGTAATCAAGTATTCAGGAGCAGAACCAGTTGCATCACAATTAGATATGAAACTCAGGTGGTGTTCTTTCTAAGTGAAAACTTGCTGAAGGCTTCAGAAAGCTTGTCAAAAATCAAATGAATTATTAGGTCAAAGGCAGCTTTCAGGACGGATGTCGAAAAAAAATCAAAAGTAGTAAAAAAAAATGAAATTGTGGTAACTCGATAACCAGAACGTAATCGATGATTATAAACCTTAAAAGTTATTTAATTCATACAAAGATTCAATTAACAGAAAGCATTAAAACCAAACAAACTTCCTGGTCACACCAGCTCTTATCTCAAAATAATATCTCAGTTGTTACAGTTGTAATCAAGTATTCAGGAGCAGAACCAGTTGCATCACAATTAGATATGAAACTCAGGTGGTGTTCTTTCTAAGTGAAAACTTGCTGAAGGCTTCAGAAAGCTTGTCAAAAATCAAATGAATTATTAGGTCAAAGGCAGCATTCAGGACGGATGTCGAAAAAAAATCAAAAGTAATAAAGAACAAATGAAATTGTGGTAACTCGATAACCAGAACGTAATCGATGATTATAAACATTACAAGTTATTTAATTCATACAGATTCAATTAACAGAAAGCATTAAAATCGAACAAATTTCCTGGTCACACCAGCTCTTATCTCAAATTATTATCTCAGTTGATACAGTTGTAATCAAGTAATCAGGAGCAGAACCAGTTGCATCACAATTATTTAAGAAAGTCAGGTGGTGTTCTTCGTGAAAACTTGCTGAAGGCTTCAGAAAGCTTGTCGAAAAAATCAAATGAATTATTAGGTCAAAGGCAGCATTCATGACGGATGTCGAAAAAGAAATCAAACGTAGTAAAAAACAAATGAAATTGTGGTAACTCGATAACCAGAACGTAATCGATGATTATAAACATTAAAAGTTATTTAAAAACAATTCATACAAAGATTCAATTAACAAAAAGCATTAAAACCGAACAAATTTCCTGGTCAAACCAGCTCTTAACTCAAATTATTATCTCAGTTGATACAGTTGTAATCAAGTAATTAGGAGCAGAACCAGTTGCATCACAATTAGATAAGAAAGTCAGGTGGTGTTCTTAGTGAAAACTTGCTGAAGGCTTCACAAAGCTTGTCGAAAAAAATCAAATGAATTATTAGGTCAAAGGCAGCATTCAGGACGGATGTCGAAAAAGAAATCAAACGTAGTAAAAAACAAATGAAATTATGGTAACTCGATAACCAGAACGTAATCGATGATTATAAACATTAAAAGTTATTTAAAAACACTTCATACAAAGATTCAATTAACAGAAAGCATTAAAATAGAACAAATTTTCTGGTCACACCAGCTCTTATCTCAAATTATTATCTCAGTTGATACAGTTGTAATCAAGTAATCAGGAGCAGAACCAGTTGCATCACAATTAGATATGAAACTCAGGTAGTGTTCTTTCTAAGTGAAAACTTGCTGAAGGCTTCAGAAAGCTTGTCGAAAATGAATTATTAGGTCAAAGGCAGCATTCAGGACGGATGTCGAAAAAAAAATCAAACGTAGTAAAACACAAATGAAATTGTGGTAAATCGATAACCAGAACGTAATCGGTGATTATAAACATTAAAAGTTATTTAAAAATAATTCATACAAAGATTCAAGTAACAGAAAGCATTAAAACCAAACAAACTTCCTGGTCACACCAGCTCTTAACTCAAATTATTATCTCAGTTGGTACAGTTGTAATCAAGTAATCAGGAGCAGAACCAGTTGCATCACAATTAGATAAGAAAGTCAGGTGGTGTTCTTAGTGAAAACTTGCTGAAGGCTTCAGAAAGCTTGTCGACAATGAATTATTAGGTCAAAGGCAGCAATCAGGACGGATGTCGAAAAAGAAATCAAACGTAGTAAAACACAAATGAAATTGTGGTAACTCGATAACCAGAACGTAATCGGTGATTATAAACATTAGAAGTTATTTAAAAATAATTCATACAAAGATTCAAGTAACAGAAAGCATTAAAAGCAAACAAACTTCCTGGTCACACCAGCTCTTATCTCAAATTAATATCTCAGTTGGTACAGTTGTAATCAAGTATTCAGGAGCAGAACCAGTTGCATCACAATTAGATATGAAACTCAGGTGGTGTTCTTTCTAAGTGAAAACTTGCTGAAGGCTTCAGAAAGCTTGTCGAAAAATTCAAATGAATTATTAGGTCAAAGGCAGCATTCAGGACGGATGTCGAAAAAGAAATCAAACGTAGTAAAAAAACAAATGAAATTGTGGTAACTCGATAACCAGAACGTAATCGATGATTATAAACATTAAAAGTTATTTAAAAAACTTCATACAAAGATTCAATTAACAGAAAGCATTAAAACCGAACAAACTTCCTCGTCACACCAGCTCTTATCTCAAATTATTATCTCAGTTGATACAGTTGTAATCAAGTAATCAGGAGCAGAACCAGTTGCATCACAATTAGATAAGAAAGTCAGTTGGTGTTCTTTGTGAAAACTTGCTGAAGTCTTCAGAAAGCTTGTCGAAAAAATCAAATGAATTATTAGGTCAAAGGCAGCATTCAGGACGGATGTCGAAAAAGAAATCAAACGTAGTAAAAAACAAATGAAATTGTGGTAACTCGATAACCAGAACGTAATCGGTGATTATAAACATTAAAAGTTATTTAAAAAACTTCATACAAAGATTCAATTAACAGAAAACATTAAAACCGAACAAATTTCCTGGTCACACCAGCTCTTAACTCAAATTATTATCTTAGTTGGTACAGTTGTAATCAAGTAATCAGGAGCAGAACCAGTTGCATCACAATTAGATAAGAAAGTCAGGTGGTGTTCTTAGTGAAAACTTGCTGAAGGCTTCAGAAAGCTTGTCGAAAAAATCAAATGAATTATTAGGTCAAAGGCAGCATTCAGGACGGATGTCGAAAAAGAAATCAACCGTAGTAGAAAAACAAATGAAATTGTGGTAACTCGATAACCAGAACGTAATCGGTGATTATAAACATTAAAAGTTATTTAAAAAACTTCATACAAAGATTCAATTAACAGAAAACATTAAAACCGAACAAATTTCCTGGTCACACCAGCTCTTAACTCAAATTATTATCTTAGTTGGTACAGTTGTAATCAAGTAATCAGGAGCAGAACCAGTTGCATCACAATTAGATAAGAAAGTCAGGTGGTGTTCTTAGTGAAAACTTGCTGAAGGCTTCAGAAAGCTTGTCGAAAAAATCCAATGAATTATTAGGTCAAAGGCAGCATTCAGGACGGATGTCGAAAAAGAAATCAACCGTAGTAGAGAAACAAATGAAATTGTGGTAACTCGATAACCAGAACGTAATCGATTATTATAAACATTAAAAGTTATTTAAAAATACTTCATACAAAGATTCAATTAACAGAAAACATTAAAACCGAACAAATTTCCTGGTCACACCAGCTCTTATCTCAAATTATTATCTCAGTTGGTACAGTTGTAATCAAGTAATCAGGAGCAGAACCAGTTGCATCACAATTAGATAAGAAAGTCAGGTGGTGTTCTTAGTGAAAACTTGCTGAAGGCTTCAGAAAGCTTGTCGAAAAAATCAAATGAATTATTAGGTCAAAGGCAGCACTCAGGACGGATGTCGAAAAAGAAATCAAACGTAGTAAAAAAAAATGAAATTGTGGTAACTCGATAACCAGAACGTAATCGGTGATTATAAACATTAAAGGTTATTTAAAAATAATTCATACAAAGATTCAAGTAACAGAAAGCATTAAAACCGAACAAATTTCCTGGTCACACCAGCTCTTATCTCAAATTATTATTTCAGTTGGTACAGTTGTAATCAAGTAATCAGGAGCAGAACCAGTTGCATCACAATTAGATAAGAAAGTCAGGTGGTGTTCTTAGTGAAAACTTGCTGAAGGCTTCAGAAAGCTTGTCGAAAAAATCAAATGAATTATTAGGTCAAAGGCAGCATTCAGGACGGATGTCGAAAAAGAAATCAAACGTAGTAAAAAACAAATGAAATTGTGGTAACTCGATAACCAGAACGTAATCGGTGATTATAAACATTAAAAGTTATTTAAAAATAATTCAAACAAAGATTCAAGTAACAGAAAGCATTAAAACCGAACAAATTTCCTGGTCACACCAGCTCTTATCTCAAATTATTATCTCAGTCATACAATTTATTTCTGACTTAGTGAATTAACAACTTCAGTAAAATTTTATCTGAGAACAATCGAACCATTCGAAACAAACCAAAGGAAATCCACTTGCAATCAACAAGCCCTCGCTTCGAGCAGACAAGCTAGTTCTATCACTGGCTGCATCATTTCTAGTGATTAAAGGCTAGTCCATATATGCATCATTTCTAGTGATTAAAGGCTAGTCCATATATGCATCATTTCTAGTGATTAAAGGCTAGTCCATATATGCATCATTTCTAGTGATTAAAGGCTAGTCCATATATGCATCATTTCTAGTGATTAAAGGCTAGTCCAATCCTAGATTACTTTCTTCTGAATAATTTCAACACTGACACTCACTCGCAGAACTAGATACATCCCAGCGGTTAGGATTACCAGTTTAGAGCAATAAAATTATATGGCTAGCGGTAGACTCACAACATCGGATCTAACCGCACTAGTCTCGACCAAAGGCGGAAAAAGTCAATCGAAAACAATACAAAACATACCTGATTTTGTGACGTCACGAGGGACATGTGAGGTGCTGTTGCGTCCCCTCGCAGAGCAGCGGCAGAATTCATGTTGAGATATGACGACGTATTGGAGTCGTTGTTCGCATTTTTGCCGCCACAGCTCTCGTATGCAGCCGAGGCGGCAGACATGTACACCCATGCCTCGTCTGCCCCTCCTCCAGACGAATTGAGAGCGGCCGAAGTGACGACAACACTGGGATTGTTGTTCGGATTCGGCATTTTATTGCTGCAGGAGCTGTTTTGATTGGCAGTAGACTGCATGAGGTGTTGGTGAGGTTGGGAGGAGAAACAATTACTCAAGTTTAGAGGCAGGGCCACGCTGCTCTAAATCAATCAAAACAGGTTACAACATGCGTAGAAAACGAAACAGCCAACATTCATTTCAGGCAGCTCGCTCATACTTTATACAGTGTCTTTTCATGGCAAAATTTAGCAGTAATTGAGATAAATTTGCTTTCACTAGTCTTTGTCTTCATAATTAAGCAAAAAAATTTACTGTCTTCAAGAAAATTTTTGGAAATATTTTACGACATCTATTTTTAGCGATTTCGGGAGTGCGGTTCGGAAGTGAATTCTAAGACCTGGGAAAACCAAAATAGCTGACCTCTAAAAATAACTTACAGAATCTATATATTTTTTGCAAACAAACTCCGGAACAAATTACGAGCTGATCAAAATGAATTATCATATTTTTTGTTGCAAATTATCGCAAAAGGTTTTAAAATGAGGTCAAATTTAGAAAAATTTATTGGCTTATTTTTGGCTTTAAAAACGTTTTTGCTCTATTGTAAAATCACTCAATTAAGTTTAAGTTAATTAAGCGTAGCCAAGAGACAGTTGAAAAAGAGTCAATGAACGCAAGTAAACAAACAATCAGAGAAAACTGGATCAACGAGAAAATTTTTTGTTTACTATATTCAACCTTTTTAGCCGAATAAAGAGAAAAAGCAAACAAAAACAAAAAAAATTGAAATGGGAGTACAATTTTCGAATATAACGGGCTTTTAAATTGCGGATATGCTCAAAAATTGTCTAGAAGAAAGATCAGATGGTCGTCGCCAATTTCAGCCATCATGTGAAAAAGTTGATTACGGGTAAGCCAAGAATGGATGTCGTAAAATATTAGGGAAGATTGGTGAGGTGGTCGACCTCCAAGAGCCACCCTTCCCTAGAATGATCATAAAATAATTAAAATAACTTCCAACTACAAAACTTAATAAGGAAATAAAGCTGAACTAAATGGTCACATACGCCTTTTGCAAACTAAACTAACGTGCAGGGAAACGAGTAGTACTAACATTGCCACTACATTCACTACCAAAAGGGACTCTACTGATATCTCCTGTCACGATGATATAGTTATTATGTTGCTGTTGTTGCAGCCTCTGTGAAGGCACTCTGTGGGAAGAGCCCTCCCCTGCTACTCGCCCCAACAAGCCACCTATAGACTGCACACCTCCGCTATTGGGGGCGGCTGCCATAACACCCAGGTGCCCTCGCCCTCCCCCTGCTCCTGCTTCTGCCACCTGTTGGGGGGCATATTGGTGTTGTGGCGGTGGCTGTTGTATGAGATGATGATGATGCTGCTGCTGATGATTATGATGCACGGTTGACATGTGGCGTCCGAGGTGGTGGGGCGAAGAAAGATTCTGAGGAGAGGTGGACAACATAGAATGACGAAGAGAAGAGGACGGAGAGAGAGAAACTAAGTCTACTGATGGTGCTCCTGCAACAGCCAAACAAAACAAACAGTCTACAAACTACTACATAAAACATGCTACCCACATTTACCCAACCAACAGCTCTTTTCTTCTCTAAGCCTTCCTCAAATCACCCGTATGTTCCGTTTTCTTCGGGTTAGATTACTGAATCAGTAGTCGAGGACATTCGAGTCAGTCGGACAAAACAATGAAAACGAACTTCGATCCGTGCGATGCTTGGCTTAGAACATTGGCTCATAGCAGTACTGATTCAATTTCATTAGACTCAAATATCACCGGGGCCTTCTTAGGCTTCAGCACTTATGAAAACTAGCTTCTTTTTTCAAAACATCATCGGATGCTTACTTCTGGCAATTTCCTACGAATGCTTCCACTCATAACAGAACACAGAGGCGAAGCTGCGCTACGCAAACACGAGTAAAACATAGTCATTAAGAGTTGCACAAGTGTTTATGAACAAGGAAACCTAAAAAAAAAATCTTTTTTTTGAAGCTAAATTCAAAGAAAAATATATCATCATTAGGCTCTTGACTTTTTGATTTCACTTTCGATTAGATTTCTCCTAAAAAACTAAAAACTCGCGTTTTTTCGTGGTCTTTACACTTTAGAAATCGGAATTTGCCTTAGCAAATGGATTAGACTGCGAACTTATAAGGAAATCCAAAGTGAATCCGCCGAAAAATAAATTTGAGCGTGAACAGAGACTTCTGCATGAACAGGCAAAACCAAAGAACAGATGTTAAACAAACCGCCATATCTTTCAGCCAAAACTACATCGAAATAACGTAAATTACATCAGAATTACGTGAAAATTGCATAGCAATAGTGAAAATTGGTTATGTTGTACAAAAGTATTAATTTTCGGCTTGTTGGAAAGGCAACCTTATTTTCGGTGTGTTGGTCCGTCCTTCGGCTTGTTAGCCTACGACCATTAAAACAACCAACAGATATTTGAAAAATTGTAGATCAACAAATAAAGTAAAAGGTTGATAGAAAATTTTTAATATTATTTTTAAAATTCAAACTTTGATAGTATCACTCAAAATGTTTAAACTGTTTGATTTTCAAGAATTGGCAATTTTTTCCTAGAACTTTCTATTTTTTAGAAGAAACTGAATCAATAAAAACTTTTAATTTCACTGCGAATTCAGAAATTGAAGTCCTTTTAAAACTAGAAGTCATTCACGTTTTTCGTGACTTTTACACTTATGCAGTGCGAGTGGCGTTTGTCGTTTTTTAACATAAGAAATGAACTGAACTTACGAAGAAATCAAAAGTCAAACCGCGAAAAATCAAATTAATCTAAAAAAATCATGACATATATACTTGAGAATTACCTCGTTCTTATACACTTAACAACCGAAATAAAGAAATCAATTCTTTAACAGGTAAATTTGGAAAAAAAAGAAATGAAGCATTTACTTTGAATTATGAAAGCCCAAGCCGCGGGCATTTTAATTGGAACTCACAAGCTTCGGCTAACTCATTTATGACTTTTTATGAATCCAACATGAAACCGCACTCAATTAAAAACTATTTATCTTTCGGGTGGTCAAAAAATTCGCAGGACAACACCGAAATCTATAGTTCAATGAAAATTCTTCAATGATTGGTGGGTATGATAGAAGAGCCAGATCACAAAACGTCCAAAAGTAATCATTAACTCAGAGAGACACAAAGTGGAGAAACTCTTTTTAACTTAGAAAACACTCAGAAAACCTCTGGTGATAAGAAACATCTCCGAGATAATATTTTGTGCAGTCATGGCTTGCAAACTTAGTTTTTCGAATCTGCACAGCCGCCCCTCGCAACGCACATGCTAGATCTACTCCTGTATAGTCTACTAATTAATACAACTTTTCCATCATTGCGTCTTCATTTATAAATACAAAGATAAGATAAGCAAAAAAGACAGAAAAATGGAAAAGCTCAAAATTCCAAAACACGGGTGATGAAAAAAAAGAAAGACTAAATGCGTGACGGTCTTCAACTAAATCTTGATATACCGAATCAATGTATAAAAATTTTGCCATTAATTAGGTTGGTTCGAGATCCAAATGTGTTAAGTAGATGGAGCTCCAAATTTGCAACAATACGACATACAAGCAAAACTCTTGCGTGGGATGTCTAATGTTGCTCTTCTTTTATACAATTGAGCGCATGTGGAGGTCTTACAGGCTTTTAGATGATTAAAACACAGAGGCAAAGCGGAGCTTCGCACTACTTGGGATATAAGATAAGAAAACAGCAGTGCAAGCAAGCAGACAAAAAAAGAAAGCCACAAATTTGAAAAATGAAAAACAATTTCAAAAAATCACAATTTCAAAAACTCAAAATACGAAGAACATAGACCAGAAAAATATATAATTTTTCCCCAAACAGTCAGATTGGCGAATCGAGAGACGTCTGAGAAGCAACAATACGGATCTCTTTAACTATCTCAAAAGGGGAGGGGGAGATTCGTTACCAGGTACAAAATTCGCATTTGCTAAACCGCCGTTGTATTAGTTCATTATAGGGGTGGCAATTCGCTACTAGGTACCAAAGGGGGAGGATAGGAAAACAGATCCAACAATGCTACTCCAAAACCAAAAGGTTTCATTTCATGTCTATTATAGTGTCGAGGAAGCATGTAGAGCAAATTAAGTCTACAGTGAAAACATTACAAAACTTCCTTTTCAAAACTATTTCGGTAATTGGAAGTATTTTTATCTGCAGCGAGCTCAATAATTCAGCTCATTATCTCACAATCAATTGAATCTATCAGCATATTTTTATTTTTCAAACAAAACTATTTTTTGGTTCATCTGAGAGGAAAAAGTGTTGCTTCCTGGTGAACTTTACAAAAATGAACAAGTTCAGCAGAGGTTTCTTTGTCGCATTCGTATCTAGTTGTGTTGCAAAAAACTATTCAGTTTGAGAGACGAGAAGGAAATGCAAACAAGCAATGCTTCTTTCTAACGCAGCAAATCTAGCTTCAAAGGTAGACGACAGACGGAAAAAGGATGCCTAATCGTTGAAAATTAGTTTGAATTATATTTAAGTCAGGTTTCGTCCTTATTTACAATCAGAAGAAGCACTCCGTTACAGCCACTGACATTTCAAATAACTAAAGATATTAAAGTTTCCTCAGTTCGAGGAGGACTGCCCAAAAGTACTGTATATTTTTGATATTCGATAGTGGAGTTTGCATTCCTTTTAACAAACGATAAAAGGCTTTATTCTGAAACGTAGCCAGCAGACATTTGGAAAGAGTCGATGAACGCAAGTAAACAACTGACTACAAAATTTAAATTTTCAACGAAAAATTAGGTGAAAAGTTATTTGAATTTCTTGAACAATTTAGATCAAAAATTAATCCAATTTTAAAGAAAACTCGTTCAAATTAATAAACTTTCTATTTCATTTCACTGTAAACCTTTTTAAAAAATCATCTTTCGAAACTAGATGTCGATCACATTTTCGTGACCTCTTCATGCTTGCTGGTCGAATGTGGATTTCGCCTTCCTTTTAACTAAGGAAAACAACTGAACTGAAAAAGAAATCGAGGGTCAAACCGCAAAAAAACAATTTAAGCCTGGACAAATTTTAAGACTTTTCCTTAAAAAAACATCATGAACTATACAAGCGTCTGAACTACCTTCATCGAATCTTAAAAACATAGCCAACTGACAGTTGGAAAAGACTAATGAACGCAAGGAACTGAAAAAACAACTGATTTGTTTTTTTTTTTTCAAAAAATTCAAGTTTTGAACTTCGAAAAAAATAAATGGCCTTAAAACTTTTTGAATTTCTAGAACAAAGTATGACTGTCAATTTGTAGATAAACTTAACCCAATTTGAGAAAACTGAAACGAATGGTCAAAATCTATTTTTCGGTGGAAAATCAGATAAATAAATTCCATTTTCTTCCTTCATACAGAAATAAAAAAGAACTAACTTATAAGTAAATCAAGTCAAACTGCAAAAAAAATTAAACCCGAATTAATTATAGACTTTTCCTGAAAAAAACCATCGCGGCCTATTGTGGAGTTGGTCTTACTTTCATAAAAGAAAATGAACTGAACTTATTACAAAGAATTCAAAGGTCAAACCTCAAAAAGTAAATTTGAGCCAGAACAGAAGTCATACTCATACAATTCAAAATCTTAATAACAAAATCCTAATTCAAAATCTCAATTCAAAATAAAATAACAGCTGAATCCGAATAATAACCACAAAAACGCGTGCCACTTTTTAAATAAAATTAACCCATTTTGAGAAAACTTGATTTACTTCGGCAGAAAAGTCTGAAATTTAAAAACTCAATTTGAAAAGTTACAGTCAAGCTCTACTTTTCTCGCCATTTGTACTTTTTTAATGGAGATCTGAAGAGCCTTCATTCAGCAAATTAAATTGGATGAGAAAGAAACCAAAGATCCAGAAGCTTATAAAACACATAAAATGTGTTTCCTTAAAAATACGAAAAAAACCACCAGACCTCAATAAGCGGAAACTGCTGTTGTTCATGGACACTTAAAGACAAATAATTACTACCGTGTTTGTGGGATGAGTATTACTTTTTCTACACAAAAGGGAGGTTGTTCTAATCTAACAAGGTGCAATATTTTACAACCATTTTAACAGCGACTAAACAGCTACTCTTTTCTTTCAGCTCCTATTTGCAACTCACTCTTCGTTCGGTCCGCCAAGGCGACCAAGATAAGCGTCTAAATTCTGAAAAAGACCACCTGAATTTCTACTGCTTTTTGGAGGAAACAATTACTGTGATTTTGGATGGACGGTTTATTTAAATTGGTACAAGTCAAATTGTCATTTCTAACCGTCTTCCATTCCCGTTGCGGCCATTCCGTTTGCCGCCACGTAATTCCCACCCATAAACACTGCCGCCGATGAGCCAGGACAAGCGCCTTGTTGCTGCTGCTGCTGTTGATGAGTCATCATAACGTGCATGTCTGCATCGTGAATGGGTCCTCCTCCGTTCACATGGTTGAGGCCGCCGCCGCCACACGTGGTGGATGCATTTGAAAGTGACATTATCCTTGCTGAGTTGGTTTCTAAGTTGGGGTTTCGCAACTGCCGCGGTGTCTGCTGCTGGTACCCCCCAGAGGAGAGATCGGGCAGTGATCCCCCCGGATGGTTTGGGGAAACGCCTCCCTGACACGCAGTAGTGGAAGCCATGTTCTGGTTCTCATTTGGAGACAACATGTGAAGAGTGTTTGGATTCAAGTTGCTAGGAGGCCTAAAAATTAGGCTACTCAAATATATCATCTGATTTTTTTAAACGCAAATCGATTCCAGATAGAAACTTTGAAGAACATAGCCATCAGACAGTTGGAAAAGTCAATGAACTCAAGTAAACAGAAAAAATACTGACTTTTGAATTTTCAAGAAAAAAAGATGGCCTTTAAGCTCTATGAATTTCTAGAAAACATTAATGTTGACACTTTTTTGAATAAAAAAAAACCCAATTTGAGAAAAATGAACTAATAATTATTTTTTTTCGCTGGGAAGCACACTTTCGAAATTAGAAGTCGATCACGTTTTTCGTGACCTTTACACTTTTACTGTTCCATAGTGGAGTTTGCCTTCCTTTCAACAACGGGCATGAAATGAACTTTGGAAGAAATCAAAAGTCAAACCGTGAAAAAGTAAATTTGAGCCTGACCAAATTTTGAAAAAAAAATAAAAAAATAATCATCCCGACCTATACGAGAGTCTGAACTACGTTTAGGGACTCTTAAAAAGTTCACGATCAAATTAACACGAAGCAGAGGCTGAACATAAATCTTTTCAGATCGTTGAGACGAGAAGCTGTTGCTTTTGACCATTAAGTCACGCTCTCATGCTGGTTGTGGTTAATTTCTGAGCTCGCAAATTTTGTTTGAACCTCAATTCTGATATATTGAGCTTTAATTCTGATATTAAAGGCAATTGCAACTACAATGAAAGTTGCTTACAGCACGACAAAACCTGAGCAGATAAACGAAAGTCCGACCATTCAAATTTTTCCGAAAGAAAACTTGCATGTACATACATATTCAAAAAAAAAAGAATGTCCAATCAGGTTTCGAAACTAAGATCTTAGGGTGAAAAGGCGACATCATTACCTCTAGGCCAACTGCGCAGGAGCCCGGAAGTTGTTAAGACTCAATAACGAAGTAAGTTGAAAATGTGTAAGAAAAGTTGTTAACGCGAAAAAAAGTTCCCGATTACAATACACTTGCTTTCGCAAGTGTAATTATTCGAACTTATTAATCAATCAATCCTGTTAATACATGCACAAGTATAATTCTTTGGGCCAAACGAAGATCGTCCACAAAAAACAGACGGTGTTATTTTCAGCTGTGCATAAGCTTTTAAAAACCTTGCCGTGAAAATTCCGAAATTTGATTAAAAAATACAGAGGCGAAGCGGAGCTAGATTTTTATAAGATTGGACTAAAAGGCTGAAGATTTTTAAACATAAATAAGGTGACATCAGCTCATGCAGCTAAGAAGACCGAGATCTGTTAATTCAATTGAACCATTAATCTGCCCACTCAAAAAGATACCGAAAAATGGCCAAAGAAGTTAAAAACTTTGTCAATTCCCAAAAGCCGTAACTTTCTACTAGAATTGTGGTGTAGACCTTTAAGCTGAGACAAAACCCTTAACCTAAGAAATGGCAGGGTATTTTCAACAAAAGTCAAGAAGTTTCCAAAAAGCGAACAAAAACACAAACAAACTTTCCGAAACTATTTTTCTACAAAAAATTAGGGCGTAAATGCTTACACCGGGAAAATTATCAACACCTGTTTTTCGATTGATTCTTTTAAATCCATTTTTGGCAGGGTAACTTTTGAACAAAACGGTCAAATTGTAAAAAAAAAACTGTCTTTTTGGGGCCATATTTTAATTTAATAAAAATCGAGGGCAAAACCGTTTGTGTATAGAAGATCTCCAGTTCCAAATTTCTTCACTGAATCAGTAACGCCAGATATTCAAAATTTTAGCAAAAAAAAAATGCGAAGCGTCTCAAAAAAAATAAAATACAGAGGCGAAGCTGAGCTTCGCGCCACTTGCGATACGAAACAAGAAACTGCTAACACCGCTAAGTCGAAAACAAAATCAAAAAAGTCGAAAAAACTAGTTCATTCACAATGAAAAACGCTAGTTTTGAAACAAAAACGTGCCAAAACAAAAGAATGTAGAATAAGCATAGAAAAAAATTCCAAGCGGTAACAAAGCCGAACAGACCTTGGCAGAAAAAAATTCAACAAAACTAAAAAAAATGTTCATGTCTCCCTCAGTCTCAACTTACACACAAAAACTTTATCCGCTCGTCAAATAAACAAAATGAGACCACTAAGTGGATACCTTTTAAGCCGAAAAAATATAAAACCACAAAAAAAGAATAAAAATAGACTAAAAAAAGTTACTAATAAAAAAATAAAGAGTAAATGTTTTTTCCAAAAAAATTAAGAGTAAATGTTTTAACAAAGAAAATCTCAACAAGTGCATGGAGACAAGATTAAAAAAATCAAATTGACTTGGCGAAAAAATTGTTTATTCAGCTTATCAATTGTGCAAACATCGGTTTTTACAAAAAAAAAATTCTCACAATTGACAAGTTACAATCTTTTTCGACCCAACATCTTAGCCAGTTCAAAAGAAGTGGGGGAAAATCACGCCTTTCAAAAAATTCATCCAGCATCTGAAACTGTAAATTGTCTTTCCGAAGGATATGCGAACTATCGTGATTTACATATCTATCCTCAATAGAACGCGAAAAGGAGACCCAATTGTCTAGCTGCAATACAACTCTAAACTGAATTAAATTGCATGCAAGCTATTATATAACTCTGCACCTAAAAAAAATTTAACTTGAACAAAGCCTGAAGAAAAACCCTCAGCCTAAAATAGAAAATCAAATTGAAACATGGCTGTCTTATTTCGCAATTGCACATATTGAAATACTACCTTTTCAGGTGCTTGTTTACTTGGTGGGTCCCTCAAAAAGGCTGTGGTCCCTAATAAAAACAGAGGTACAGTATTTGGGTTAATTCACACAGTAAGCATCTTAATTTCTCTATTTCGATAACACAGCTGGCATAATTAGTTTAGCGGGTACGACTAAACTAACTTCCGAAAATCCTACTATATTTAACTTCACTGAAGAGAAACCAAAGTTGTTCATTACACACATTCTGAAACCCCGTAACCTTCATTTTCAGTTTACCTGGCACCGCCTTCATGCGACTGCCTTCACAGAAAAATCGTACCAAATTGTTTCACGTTCAGTGTTGTTGGCAAACCGGATGACAATTGGTCAAATATCGAAAGCAACTTTATGAGTTAGCATCTTTGTTGAGCGCATCCTAGGAAAGCCAAATCTGCGACGGCTTTCTCCTCATCAAAAAATGTCTTTACGATCTCTAGAACCTCACATAACGTTTCGAAAAGTTCTCGAAGCATTTGTGAAATTGCTGCGCAGAGCCTGACCGAATGACAGATTATGACCTTTATCTACGAAAATTTTTTTTAGCATGAGACCGAGCACGCATTGGAATTTCTAACTGGCCTTAATAGTCTGGTAGAATACGCAATGATCGGCAAAATGCTGGACTTGCAGGAGCAATGAAACCTAAGAGTGAAAGAAGAGTTGCTACGTCGGCCTTCATTACTGTTGGAAAATAGGAGTTACCTTCAATCATCACTAGGAAGCGGGAAAAAAGTAAAAACTTTTTTCTCTTTTTTACTTTAACAGCGCTTATTGAACTTTAAAAAAGTTAGAAAGGAAACTATATATTTGCCTTAGCTTTAGGCAGAGAATATTTAAAACGTCTTATTTCTGAGAACTGCAATTTCTAATTCTCTAAGAAATTTCCATCCACATTCAAGCTGCCGAATTCCTTTATGCTTCAATAACATCGTTCGAACTCGAAAGACTTTTCAGTCTGCTAAAGCGAAAACTAGATGATTGTTTATATATATATTGCGACGGAAAGTGTGCAAAAGTACATTTGTTTATGCATTTACACTACCGAAATTGTAGCTTTCTGCACTTACTTTTTTATTTAAAACTTTTTTTGGCCATTTTGAAAACTTAAGAAAGTAATTTTTACGACCCCAAATTTACTTTTTTCCACTTCCTAATCATCAGTAATTTGATCTCTCATACGGTAGGCAGACCGTCCGCGCTAATATCTCAAAACGCAAATTTGACTACTTCTCGTAAAATAGATAACCTTTTAGGACATCAGCCCTTGTCGAAGTCCAGTCTTTCAAAAATTTAATGCACTAAAGCTCGCATAAATCAGACACAGAGGCGAAGCTGCACTTCGCATACACAAGCAAAAATATGACCGACAACGCTACTGGAAAAACTGAATGATCAATACTTTGATTCAACAAAATTTCTTAGATGACTCACGCCAATTATGAGCCTACATAATTGCTAAGTGAAGCAAGCTAATTATGACGCACTAGAAGTACCAGTCAATTTGAAAAGAAATTAATCAATTAACATACCTCAATTTATAAAGCGGACGCATTTTAACTAGTATACGAAAAAGTTCATTAAAAATCCGATCTTACCCAGGTTCGAACCCTCTTATTTTGCTGCTGGTCTCCTTCCCTACCCCTACGCTACAGAACCATGATACTTTGAAAAATCTCAAATTTCAAACTTCGAAAAAAATAGATTTCTAGAACAGTTTATGATTAGCGCTTTTTTGACAAAATTAACCCAAATTATATCAATAGGTAAAATTATATCAATAGGTAAAAAGTTTATTTCGCTGGGAAACAAGATAATTCTATTCCATGTTCAGTTGAGCACAATTTAAGATTGGTGTTAGTGCTTTTTTGATAAAAACTAACCCCATTTGAGAAAAATGCACCAAAAGATAAAGTTTTTATTTCGCTGGTAAATCAATTCAATTTTCAAAATTGGAAGTCAATGAAGTTTTTCGTGACTTCTACACTTTCGCTGTTCGATAGTAGAGTTTTCCTTTTACACGTTCGCTGTTCGATAGTAGAGTCTTCCTTTTAACATCTTTGCTAGAAAATAAATATCAGTTTGAGAAAAAATAGTCCAAGTCACACGGAAAATGAAATGAGTGACGTAATGACGAACGATATTCAACAACTCTGAATCTATTGCGATAATCATTGATCTGAGCTTGATCAAACTTTGAAACATTTTTTCCTCAAAAAAGCGCAAAAAAATCATCAACAACCTATATAAGTGTCTTCACTGCGTTTATTGACATTTAAAAACGGCACGCAGAAACATGAACTACTTGTTGTTTTAAAAACGAGGAAAGAAGACCCAAGTGCCAAACTCCAACAATAACTCTCACTGACTTGAATTGCACGAAAATTATTTAATATCTCGTCAGCTGCGGTCAGAATTGAAAACTAAAAAATAAAGCTTTCGAACAGACCAAAAACGAAATTAAACAAGCAAAAAGAATCAGGATAAACATAGATTTATCACAATAACTACCTTATTTTGCCACTGACATGTCCACTAAATATTTCAATTTTCATTTCAACCAAATCTATATAATGTTTATAAACTGTTTTGAGAACAACACTTTTTCAACCTCCCTTTTGAAGTTGAACGCTTTGCAAAAAAATCAAAACATAGTCAACATGTGACTGGAAAAGGTTCAATGAAGGAAAGAAAACAGAAGAAAATGATCAAACTGGATTATGATTTTTATTCCGCCGGGAAATCGGTGAACGAAAACCCACTTTCGAACCTAAAGTCGTTCACCTTTTTTTCCCGCCATTTGCGCTGTCTAAATTGGAGAGCATACTTTGTCTCCATTTGTAGCGAACGAATTTGAATTGAACTTAAACAGAAATCAAGCCAGTTAGAACTTCAGAAGAAAGTCAAATTGCAAAATGTCAAACTTGTCATCAAATTTTTAGCGAATTCTTCAGGAAAAAAAAACAAACGCACGACGTAAACAAGTGTCTTGACTTCGTTCATTAACGCATAGAAAGCGAGCGCATATTAAAATATACCATCTACAACTACAGCAAGATATTCGCCAAGTAAGATTTTGCCAACAAAAATCCACTGAAGTTAACGAACATTTCGAAAACTGTTTATGAACAAGGAATCATATCCAAAAAAAGGTATAAAACTTTTCAGTTTTTGAGCTTCAAAGAAAAAATATATGGCATTAAAGCACACTTCCAATTCAAAAATCTTTCATGTTTGAAGACAGTTGAAAAAGTATCAATGAACGCAAGAAAACAAAAAAATCGACTTAATTAAAACCAACTTCAAAATTCGCATTTTAAAGAAAAAAATATATGCTTTTCAAGCTCTTCGAATTTCAACAATAGCTTATGACTGACACACTTTTGATAAAACGTATCCCGATTTGAAAAAAAACTGGATCAATAGAGAGTTTTTTTAAAACCGCTGGGATATCTTAAAATTAAAACCTACTTTCAAATTAGAAGTCGTTCACATTTGTCATGTCTTTTATTGTTCGATTACCCAGATTGCTTTCCTTTTAGCAAAAGAAATGAACAAAACTCAAAAAGAAGTCATTCTACGAAAAATCAAATTTGAGCTTGATATTTTTCTGCAAGAAAAACCATCACCACCTATTAAGTTAAAACCACTTCGTTCTATTACACTTGCAAAAAATTGGCAAACGGCAGTAATCAAATTTGCATTTATCAGAAGGTTTGTCATGAAGCTTTGCAAGTAAGAGTCAAGTAATTAAACGACTTTATGCTGCACAATGATGAATATTGGTAGTTTGAGAGTCATATGAGAGATATTGTCCATACATACCTGGGTATATTCATGGCCGTGGCGGTGGCCACTGAATTGTTGTGGTTGAGCATGGGTGGTGAGGCGATAGTGAGTGAGTGCTGTCGTGTTCCGGGGGTTGCCGGACTGCCAGTGTCGGGGGACTGCTGAGCCGAGGAGTCCGGGGAGGGACTGGAGTGGTGCATCCTATGTGAAAATGGAGGGCCGCTATTTATACATCACACAGTTCAATGCATAAACGATCAAAACAAAGAGGCTAAGCATAAAAATATCAATTTATAGACAAAAATCAGGAAGACGGAAATCATCACAAAAAACTTGGTGAAAACTCATGGAAACAGATTACGTGCATCAAAATTATTTTTTTTAAAATATTTTAGTCATCAGAAGCCCACTGAATTGCATTCTCGTACCAATTATAAAAACAGTCAGATATAATAACAATCAGATTTTAAAAATGAGACATTTAATTCAAAAAACTGAGGCTCCAAAACATTTTAACATAGCCAACAGACAGTTGAAAAAGAGCCAATGAACGCAAGCGAACAGAAAAATTCTGACTTGTTTTTTTTAAATAAACCTCAATCTTCGACTTTCCCAGAAAAAAAGTTGCTCTTAACGCTCTTTGAATTTCTAGAACAATTTTCAATATTGACACTTTTTTGAGAAAACTAAACCAATGGGTAAATTTTTATTTCGCTGAGAACTAGTTTTGAAACTAGAAGTCAATCACGTTTTTCGTGACCTTTACACTTTTACTGTTCGATAGTGGAGTTTGCCAACCTTTCAACAACAAAAAAATCTGCTGATCTTAAAAAAAGCAAACTTCAAAGCGTGAAAAAATAAATATGATCCTGAACAAATTTTTCCTGAATTTTTTTTAAATCATCGCGACTTACATAAGAGTTTGAACTCCGTTCATCGACTCTTGAAAATAGATGCCCTTAAAGCTCTTTGAATTTCTAGAATAACTTAGGATGGACAATTTTTTGATTCAATTAACGCAATTTGAGATAACGGCATCATAAAGTAAAATTGAATTCCACTTTCAAAACTAGAAGTCGATCAACATTTTCGTGACTTTTACAATTTTGCTATTAGATAGAGAAGTTTTCTTTCCTTTTAACAAAGGATATGAACTGAACCTAAAGAGAAATCGAAATTCAAACCGCGAAAAAGTTAATTTGAGCCGGAACAAACTTAGACTTACTGAAAAAACAAACGAAAAAAAAAACTCGAAACCTGTTTAACAGTTTGAATTACACTAATTGATTGGTGAAAACGTTTTTTTTTGCTAAAATTCGTGGCACTAAATCAACATCAGGATCATTGAGGATATAACTAGAGCCTAGTTATTGTTTCCTTATAACTAAGAGTGAATTGGAAAAACAAAATGAAGTGAAGTTAAAAAATCACCACAAAAAACTTTTCTGCTATAGGACTAAAAACCAAAAAAATTACACTTCTACAAATTACGTTAGAAAGTATAAAAACAAATTCGAAAAAGAACGCTCGGCAAGAATTCCGGCAAAAAGTGGGACAAATAACATGAAACAAAAAAATCAATTTGTTTTTTGAAGAGCATTATAGCCCTAGAAACAACGACAACGCATTACGAAAAAAAACTCTCAAATGAGGTCTAAAAGCTGAAGAAAGAAGCTATATACTGAAAAATTTCTGGGATGTTAAATATCTGCTCCCTTATAGGAATACATCAGAAAGATTTTCAAATAATGTAAGAATTGTTTATAGCCATGCTGAGTCAATTAAGCGTACAAAATAAGCAGAAAAACAATAATCTGACAATTAATTCTTTTAAAAGGAAAGTTTTTAGTTTGCAAGGAGAACAGGTCGTGACTTGAAACTAACCTTGATACATTGCCAACCAAATCATGATTTTAGCTCTGCGCGAAATGCTAATACTTAGACACTTAACTTTATGGCGAAGCTGCGTTTCTAGGAAAAACTGCAAAAGTACTTATAAAAAAACTTAAGAAAAAATACAGAATTTCCCTCTACGGGAACCGAACCTTATACGTTAAAAATCAAAGACCCGTGCCCTGCTCATCTGTCCCACTGAGGCTTAACGAAACGGAACAACCGTCAATCAGAAACCCGAAAACATGCAATTCAACTGCCAAAACAACTCAGCGAAAAATGATAGCAAAATGAACATTTTAATTGCTGGTTAGATTGAAAAAAAATTAGACTTCGTAATATAACACAATGCTCGCAAGCATAAATATAACTCAACTCATCGTATGATACAGTGATTCTGTTTGAAAAATTTTTAACCTGAAAGAATTGTGTTCCGATTTGATAACGCTTGCTAATCCAGTCTAAATCTTCTCGAAAATAATTCAAAGCTCAACGGAAAAACTAAGCATATCTTTGATAGCAGCATAAGCAACTGCCAACAAAACGCAGGTAGACGCCTCTTGAGCCGAGATTAAAGAAATGACATAACAAACTGTTGTCCAAAAGTTTTTGAGCTTTCAAGTTATGAAAGTTTGACATTTTACACCTCAAAAGACCTTTTTTTGCCAATAATAATCATTTTTTGTCCTTCAAACGATACAAATTGTGTTGACTAAGCCAATAAAACATTTACCGAAAACATTAGGCCGAATAAAGATCCAGGGCAAAAAACCAAAAGGAAAATATACGAAGTCGGGGCTAGTAAAAATAGAAATTACAGGAGTAAATCAACAACATGCAACTACAAGGAAAAAAAATCAAAAAAATCCGTGATGTGTCAACTAAGCCGACAAAACACAAACACCAAGCAAAGTTCGTCTTTTCAATTTTTGCTGGTAGTATTCTGACGAATTTTTTCAACAGAGAACTTTTGATTTTTTTTGGAATCCAAATCCCTCATTAAAACTACACTTGACCACTACGAGCTTGTTTAAGGTAGTCAAAACGGGAGGAAAAAAACACCATACGCCATAATTCCTTCTCTTCATTTAGTGAAGTATTCGCACCAACTATATCTACTGCGGGAAAGAGTGTGGGTACTAACGATTTCATGATTTCCCTGTGGTAGCTGGTCATCATCTGCTGATCATCTGACATTTTCCTCTTGTCGCCCGCTCTGCCTGTTGCCCCCGAATACATGCTGCGATTGGAGGGGGACTTAGACTTGGAGAGGGAGAGCCGAGGAGCAGGTCCCGGACCCCTTTCGGAGCCGAAGGGAGCTCCGGGGACCATCGGCACCCTCCTCGGCTGCGAGGCACTTTCGTATAGCCTCGAGTCGGATATTGTCCTACAAAAAAGAACATTCATTTCATCAAGTATCTAAACATGCATGTTTTGTACGGTGGTAGTTCAGCAAACCGATCTCTAATAAACCGAAAACGAGTGTACCAGATAAGTAAACAGATACTCCACAATCAACGCATCATTCAATTACAATCACATGAATTCAAGTCTCAGATTTGTGCAGAAAGTTAGTTTTCTTCCCCAATACAAAAACTTGAACAAAATTTGAAGTAAACTGGCTCTTTTTATGAACCTTCCAATATTTATTTTTTCATTTAAGCTCATGAAAGATTCTAAATCATAATTACGTAATTCGATTACCTCATCTGGTAAATATCTGATACTCGCTTTACTGAACGCATCCCGATATGATGTATTAATGACAAGAGGACTATAATTGACTACAGGAGCTCCGACCGAGAAATTTGTAGACGCGTGTAAGTCGATTTACTTTTTTGAACAGACTTACTTAAGTTAACTAAACATCTTTCGACTTTCGAACTTCGAAGAAAAAAACATCACGCTAAAGCTCTTTGAATTTCAAAAACTTCTTATGATTGGCATTTTTTTTCTAAGTCATACATTTTAGATAAAACCGGATTGATAAAAATGTTTTCATTCTAGCGGAAATTCAGACAATAACAGTTCATCTTTGAAACTTGAAACATTTTAGGTCATTCGCGACCTTTACTCTTTTGCTGTTCGAAATAGTGAAATTTGCGGTAATTTTAACAAAGGAAATGACCTAAACTTGAGCATAGCCAAAATACTGTTGGAAAAAAGCCAATGAACGCAAGAAAACAGAAAAACTTAAATAGTTTTTTGAAAAAAAATTTAACTTTCGAATTGACAAAAAAATATATGCCTTTTCAGCTCTTTGAATTTTCAGCCCAATTTATGATTGGCACTTTTTTGATAAAATTAATCCAATTTGAGAAAAACTGGATCCTTAGGTATTTTTTTTATTTCGCTGAGAAATCTGAAAATTAAAACCCGCTTTCGAAATCAGAAGTTGATTACGTTTATTGTGACCTTTAAACTTTTGTTGCTGAATAGCTTGTCTTCCTTCTAGCAAATTAATTCGAGTTGGTCTGAAAAAAAGTCCAACAGTGAAAGATCAAACTTGCAAGAACCAATTTTCCCTGAAAAAAAACAAGTTGACACAAATATTGAAGCAGCACAAATATTAAGTGTAGAGACATGGCTAGCACTTACCTCCTCCAGCTGTTGTCGTTACTGGTTGCCCCTCCCCCAGGGGGCAGCAGGTAGCTACCGTAAGGCGAAGTGTCCACCTGCAAATCAACACAAAACTCATCAATTCATTCTATTATAGAGAGTTGCAAAAAGTTCGCACAGACAGAATTAAAAAAAGAGCAACCGTTCCATTTTGACAGATTTTTGCACGCAATTTTTTTTCAGACAACCTTGCGCCACAAAGTCGGCCTGATAATTTAATTTTTGCATGCAAAGTTTTCCCAAAATAAGTTGCTTTTTTAAATTAATTTTGTCTGTCCGAACTGTTTGCTATTGATTACAAATTCCTGCAGTGTGCCAGCGCGAGCCTAATCATTTGTAACGAACTTTCGCGTTCATGACTCAACAACGAAATGAGTTCAAATCTCGAGTGGTTGCAAACTTCACATTCAATATCACTTCTTGGAGCAAATGTTTGACCAAAAATCGGTTTCAAGAGAAGCAAACTTCTAATTCACTACTTCTAATTCACTACTTCTAATTCACTACTTCTAATTCACTACTTCTAATTCACTACTTCTAATTCACTACTTCTAATTCACTACTTCTAATTCACTACTTCTAATTCACTACTTCTAATTCACTACTTCTAATTCACTACTTCTAATTCACTACTTCTAATTCACTACTTCTAATTCACTACTTCTAATTCACTACTTCTAATTCACTACTTCTAATTCACTACTTCTAATTCACTACTTCTAATTCACTACTTCTAATTCACTACTTCTAATTCACTACTTCTAATTCACTACTTCTAATTCACTACTTCTAATTCACTACTTCTAATTCACTACTTCTAATTCACTACTTCTAATTCACTACTTCTAATTCACTACTTCTAATTCACTACTTCTAATTCACTACTTCTAATTCACTACTTCTAATTCACTACTTCTAATTCACTACTTCTAATTCACTACTTCTAATTCACTACTTCTAATTCACTACTTCTAATTCACTACTTCTAATTCACTACTTCTAATTCACTACTTCTAATTCACTACTTCTAATTCACTACTTCTAATTCACTACTTCTAATTCACTACTTCTAATTCACTACTTCTAATTCACTACTTCTAATTCACTACTTCTAATTCACTACTTCTAATTCACTACTTCTAATTCACTACTTCTAATTCACTACTTCTAATTCACTACTTCTAATTCACTGGCCCCTATGCCTCGAACGGCGCAATTGAAAAATTTGAGCCCGACGCCCCTTGCTATACAACTAGCTACTTGTTATACAAAATATGTTGCAGAATTAAAGCGTTAAAAATTCACATAAACAGCAGCGCCAAATTCATATTTATGAAAAACCAAAAAATTACAAAAGTAGTACCTTGCCAAACATTCCTTAACACAATTATGTTTCATAAAGGCACACTCGACCAACTCAAATTAGGCAATGAAACATTTGTGAAGGACGAAAAGCGAAACATCTTCAAGGACAAGAACTTCATCGGACTTGTTTGCAATATAATCTCCCAAACTAACTGACTGATTCATAATCAAACATATCAAAAAACCTATTCAATTTTCTGCGGAGGATGGAATACCTGCAAATTGCATGACATCCATTTTGCACCTTTGGAAATCAAACATCTATGTACCTCGTATTTTGTTTAAAATTAATTTATTTTGAGAAAAAGGTGTATTGAACTTTCAGTTTTTTCGTGGTGTTTGTCCTGTGAGTTTAGATCCACAGAGTATGTTGACTACTTTTGTTCAACAACTTGACTAGACCTTACGCTACAGCAACATGATTCAATTAATCCACCCGCCTACCCACTTTTGATCAGCTTTTCTTTTCCCTCCAAATCCAAACGGGCCTGATTTGCTTGCTCTTCAATCACGTCCTTTATGACCCATTTAGCCCGCTTCTATTTACTTTTAGCCCATTCTCTCCGGCCGGATATTAACTGTCTGCATAAACTGTGATGCTACAATGGAGATATAAGATGGCATTGAATCGAAATTAGAGCACAATTGAAACTTCTTTCCAAGCCAGATGACGATGCATTTGGCACAAACACATCCCGAACACATGAATTGATACCAACAAATCTTTCACAGCTAGTACAACACTGATAATTTTGATGAGGTGCTTTTCAAAAAGTACACTTCTCTCAGATATTTTCTCAATTTTTGAGATCATTCAGATACCACAGGGCGATACAAAAATATTTGCCATAATGACAAAAAATGGCATGTGAGAAACCGCCACTTAGTCACTGTTTTAGGTCTTCCACGGAGAATCGAAGCTGAACTCGCAAACAACAGCACAAACGGCGGTAAAACTTTAAAGGCTTGAAAAATGAAAGAAACTAAAACAAATTAGCTTGGAAAGGGTCTAGTGGCAAAACTATTGGGGCCAATGAGCTTGACTCAATTAAATTGAGAATGATTTTGATAAGCTTTCAAATCTGGATTAATATGCTGCGCTCATGTACTTCGCACTTACGCGTTGCACATCATCGACAAGGGTAAAAAAAACTTTCAGACAGAGGCTAAGTTGCACTTCGCATACACAAGCAAAAATATGATCAATAACGTTTCTGGAAAAAACTGAATGAGAAAAAATTTGATTCTACAAACTTTCTTGAGTGACGCACGTCAATTATGAGCCTACATAATTGCTAAGTGACGCAAGCCAATTATGACGCATTAGCAGTACCTGTAAATTTGAAAAAAAAAAGAAATTTACCAACTAACACTCCTCCAATAAACGAGCGGACGCATTTTAACTAGTATACGAAAAAGAGCATTAAAACCATCCGACCCTGTCCAGGTTCGAACCCTCTTATTTTTTTGCGGGTCTCCTTCCCTATCTCTACGCTACAGATCCATGATACCTTGAAGCTAAAGTGCTATTTGTAATACAATAGTCTGTGTTAATATCCTTAGCATTGGCTGTACTTAATATCTGGATCAAAATGACACATTTGTGGCAACAATATTTGCATCGCAACATTATTTGCGACTTAGGTTGGAAAAAAGAGTTTTGCTTGTGTATTTAGTGCACTAAGATCAGTCCAACAAATTAGCAATTTTAAAACTTCCAAAACTACACATAACATGATAGCAGGTGGAATTTCCTTTCAAGCTTCATATCTTCAAAACATGGCCAAAAGACAGTTCGAAAACTGTAACAGAACAAGAGAATCAAAAAATGATTAAAAACTTTTTAAAGTTTCGAAGAAAAAATACATCACGTTGAAGCTCTTTGGATTTCAAAAACAGTTAATGATTGGCACTTTTTTCGTTGAAATGACCCATTTGAGAAAACTGGATCAAAATGGTCTTTTTCTAGTGCATTGGGAAATCTAAACAAAGCCAACAGACAATTGGAAAAAAGTCTATGGACGCAAGAAAAATATAGTCCACTTTCGGAACTAGGAAACAATCGAAACAATTAAGTTATTACGTTTTATCGGGCCTTTACTTTTTTGCCGTTAGATAGTGGAGTTTGCTTTCCTTTTAAAAAAAGTAAACAGCTAACTTAAAAATAAATCAAAACTCCAACCTCGAAAAAATAAAAATGAGATTGAACAAATTTTTAGACTTTTCCTGAAAAAATCATCACGACCTATGTAAGAGTCTGAACTATGTTCATCTAATCTTAAACATGAAGTCCATTTTCGAAACTAGAAAACAATAAAGTTTTTTGTGCCTTTACAGTTTTGCTGCTCGATAGTGGAGTTGCCTTCCTTTAAACAAAGGTAAAAAAAAAACGAAATTCAAAATAAATCAAAAATAAAACGGCGAAAAAAATAAATTTGAGCCTGAAATTTTAAAAAAAACTAAATAATCGCCACGAACTATGTAAGAGGCTTCTCTACGTTCGTCGACTCTTTTTTAAAAAAACGTTTTTGATTCAACATTGTTACGCAACTTTTTTGAATGAACATTTTGGCACCCAATTGCCTGCACCAATAGAAATGCTTAAAATACATTTCAAAATAGAAGTAGCTGAATCTTCATGAAACTAAGTGCTGTGGTAAAAAAGCTGAATAAAAGTAGACATGAAAAGCTTCAGCATGAAAACACCAGTTTTCAAAATGACCGTTTATGACCTGAAAGAAATTATCGAATATTTCTCCCCGTGCATGGGCGGTGCCTTTGACCCAAACGGGCAAAAGTAATAGCTGAAAATATATTTGTAAAATGACGAAACTTAGAAGACTAGAAGTCTTCCGAAACGGAAAAAGCCTAATATTCGTTTCAATGTCATAGTTACTCGTTAAGGTAACACATAAGCGAAGCTGCATTTCGCAGACGAGCAAAAAATGGCAAATAGAAGTTTTCAAATAGCAAAAAAAGCAATAGCAAAGTTAAATAAACTGAAATATGCAAAAATAAAACTTTAGTCTACTGCCTAAGCATGGAGATTACTGCCTTGGAAGTTAAGCTTAATGCACATCCTGCCTTCAAACGACAGCCACTAAAATATTGGCAGGTATTTACCAAATACCAGCAAGACAGACACTAAATTTGTCACTTTTGAGAAAAGGGCACTAACTATGCGACTTGAGCTAGAAAGAAGGATTCGTAGTAAGATTTTGCTTCGGTTGAAAAGAAAAAATTCGAGGCTGAGTAAATAATTCATACTGCTTTTTCCAAAATATTGCAACCTGATTAAATCATACTTTCAGATAATCACTATTCTCCACAATTAAATTTACAGACAAAATAACTAGAAGCGTAAGATACGAGCAAATCAATAGAAGACATTATCAAGGAAATCGGAAAACAAAAAAAAACGTTTGTTTTGATAACTTCTATTGTTGAAGCGAAATACCGCTTATCAATAGAATATAGAGAGCTTTCTGTTATTTTTAGTTATCGGGAATTGCAGTTTATTCAGCGTCAAAACTGCAAAACATTATAACAAAAAACAAAACAAACAATCAAAAAAGTTCAAACTCATTAGTATGCAGACAATTCTCAAAACGGGTGTCAAATACACTTTTCATGAGCAATTGAACAAAAATCGACAAAAGTAAGCTGTTTAAATTTCAGACAAACACGTCAAAAACGAAAACTCTGGATTGGTAGTTCGAAAAAGCATCCATCCAATCACTTTATAAATCAAGACCCTGAGTACTGAATGCACTGAACTTCCAAATAAGCTTATAATGAGCAACTGAACAAAAAAATGAGCAAAAAACTAAGGTGACAAAATTTTGGACAAAAACAAACCGATGAAAATTCGACTAACATAGCCAACAGACAGTTTAAAAAGAGTCAATAAACCCAAAAAAAACAGAAAAAACTGACTTAATTTTTGAAAAAACGTTGAAATTTCATAGTAAAAAAAAACTACTTTCAAACTCAATTTTAAAAAAACTGGATCAATAGGTAAAGTTTTTACTCCGCTGGGATATCTGAAAATTAAATTCCACTTTCGAAATTAAAAGTCGATCACATTTACTGTTCGACAGGGCAGTTTACCTTCTTTTTAACAAAAGAAATAAACTGAACTTAAAAACAAAACTGCGAATAATCAAACTTTTTCCTGAAGAAAAAAATCATCACTATCTATAGAAGAGTGTCATAGAAAATCACATTTTTTGATTGAAAAAATTTTCAACTTTCAAAAAAATAGATAGATTACTTCGGAATTCTAGAACAATTCATGGTTGACATTTTTTTGATAAAATTAACCAGGGGCGGATTTACGGGTGGGGGCGGATGCCCCCCCCCTTCAGTAATTCGACCCCCTGCCGGCCCAAAGGGTCACCCCTGTGTACTATTTTGAGATATCCATTTTTGGTGACGGACCCTAAATGTTTTCTGAAGGCGCCAATATATACTAATTTTGAGGGGGAGCGCGCGCCGAAAAAACGCAATTTTATGGAAAATTTTTTCCAAAAAGTGCCTAAAACGCTTTTTGGCATGTTTTTTCAAGGGACTTTTTAGTGCTTTGAGAGAGCACGAAAAGTCAATATGGTTGACCTAATAAAAAAAAGGTCGACAAAAGGTTGACGAGATTTTTTTTGAAAATCCCCCCTCGAGAAAATCCTAGATCCGCGCCTGAAATTAACCCAATTTGAGAAATCTGCATCAATAGGTGAAATAATTATTCTGCTGGAAAATCTGAAAATTAATATACACTTTCGAAAATAGAAGTCAATCACGTTTTTCGTAACCTCAACACTTTTGCTGTTCGATAGTCGAGTTTGTCTTCCTTTTACGAGGAATAAAAAGAAATGAACTAAACTGAAAAAAAAATCAAAGTCAAAGCGAACAATCAAACTTGGGCGTGAACAAACTATAACTTTTTCCTTGAAAAATTAAAAAAAATCATCTTGACTATATACGTGCCATCCCATCACTACGCTCATTGACACTTCATTATCTTTGTCAGAGTCAAACTAACACCGTTCAATTTGAGAAAAATTTGAAACTAACCCGGTGTCGTGACATGTTGGAACTTCCGCCCAGCGGGTGGTTGGTGGTGAGGCATAGGTTATTGGGCGGAACCATATGGGGAGGGGGATGGGCGCCACTCAAACCCTGTTGCAGATGATTCAGCATCATCATCTGTTGCTGTTGGTGCTGCTGGGCTGCGGGCGAAGTGTTGTGACCACCGCCCATGTGTTGTCCAGGAAGTGGTGGTTGGGAGGGCGTGGCAGCAACAATAGCAGCGTTCATTAGGACGTTGGAAGACGAGCCTCCCGATTGGTGCTGCTGCTGCTGCAAAGAGGAGGCAGCTGCAGTGCCGCCTCTCAGACTTCCCCGTCGGCCATCCGAACTACGACTCAGTCTACTGCTGCTAGCGTAGCCACCACCACCTACGCCAGCTATAGGGGGCATTGCTGAACTAGATATGGACACTCCACGATTTGCACTGTCCGTCAGCACATTCAGATTCGCAAGAGCATTCTAAACCCAGCATTGCCGCAATAATTCAAATAGTTTATTTTAAAACAAAGAATACCTAAGTTTAAGTACCACAACAGACTGGGTTATCACACGTTTTTGAGAGCATTTTTGCATGATTTCTATGGCCTTCTCGATGAAATTTTTTTTACACATAAGCGAACCTGAGCTTCGCACCACTTGCGATAAAAAAAGAACGACTATGATTAAAATCGAATGAAAAGAAAAATAAAAAAAATCAGAATGCTAAAAAGAATAATCTAAAATAGCCAAAAATTTTCAGTTTGCAAAACAAGCAGTTCCTCACTGGGATCAAACACCCGGCTTTGTCGTATTGAGCAATTGGGTTAACTCTAGGCCAGTTCCCCGGATAGTTGATTGAATTTGAACTTATAAAAAGCAAATAAAACACGTGTCAGATTTTCACGGGCGAATTCTGAGAAAAATGTTTACTTGAAAAAAAAGAATAGTTCCCGGTTGCAACAACCTTGCTAATAGCAAGAGTAAAAAGTATTTAAAGTCAAAAACATTGACATTAGACAATTGGAAAAGCGTCAATGAATTTAAAGAAAAATGACTAGCTTATGAAAAAAAACGAGTCATTGTCAAAAAAACTGATTGACACTTTTTGATAAAACGAACCCAATTTGAGAAAATTGGTCAACAAGGAAAACTTTTGATTCCGCTGGAAAATCTTAAAATGAAATTCGACTTTTGAAGATAGAAATCGAACACGTTTTTTCGCGCCATTTCAGCTTTCATATGAGCGTGCATTTTGCCTACCTTCTAGCAAATGAGTTTAATTGAGCATATATACCTAAAGGGCAATAATTTGTGCAACTATTGGTATGAAAGTACTTCTTCTGTTATTAGAGCGTTGTAAGACTTTTCCTGAAAAAAAAATGATCACGACTTATATAAGTGTCTGAACTACATTCATCGATTCATAAAAATGCAATCACCAAAAACAACATCGTCGTAGAACTCACAGAAACCATATATTAAATGCAAAATTAGGTATTGAAGTTTGTATTCAGGCATTTAAGAAGAAAAATAACTTCATTTAAGTCAAATTAGGTTGATAAAAAGATCATATTTAAAACAAACATGGGCAGCGACTTCGAAAGTGTAGAGAACGATCAGTTGATCTGCTCTAGTTCTACACTGTACAACACGAGATACAAAGAAAACATTTTGTATCAAACATTTTGTAAAAGAAAACATTTTGTAAAAGGAGCGAATAAAATGAGACGGAAATAACGTTCTTAAAACTATTGAAAAAAAAATAAAAAGGACAACCAACAGACAGTTGAAGAAAAGTCAATGAACGCAAGAAAAAATTAAAAAACCTAGGACAGATTTTTTTTGAAGAACTCTCAGCTTTCAAATATAAAGAAAAACATATATGATTGACACTTTTTGATCAAAATTAACCCAATTTGAGACAACTTGATCAATAGATAAAATTTTCATTTGTCTGAGAAATTCGATAATTAAATTCCAATTTGGAAACTAGAAGTCGATCACGTTTTTTGTTACCTTTACATTTTTGCTGTTCGATAGTGGAGTCTGCCTTCCTTTTAACAATTAAGTGAACTGAACTGAAAAAAAAAATCAAAAGTCAAACCGCGATACAGTTAATTTGAGCCTGAAAAAAAAAAACGAAAAAAAAAATCATCGCGACCTATATACGAGTCTGAATTACGTTAATCGATTCTTTTATAGCAAGGCAACAACCAGCATTTAAAACAATTTTCATTTACCGAGCGGCTACTGAGCCATCAACAATTGAGCAGGAGCCCTAAAAACATATTTTACCGTTAACATTAGCCAAAACCGTTTGATAACTATATTCAAAAAAATTTACCAAATCGGATTTTCAAAATCCGACTAGACGAACTCACAAATAACAGAAAGACTGTCAATTGTAGTTTAAATTGTTTTTATCGGTACCTTTTTTGAAAGTATTGCTAAAATTGCCATATTTGAGCAATCAGATTTTGGACATTATGCAGCTTCGCAGTCCCTGAATTTTGCAGATTCGCAACCCCTGACCACAAAGATATTGTGGCAACCCAAGATTACCTCAAACTAATAACTCAAGACCCTGATTCATATTTCACCTTGAATTTAAAAACAAATTGAATTCGCTAATTCAAAAGGAAAAAAACTAAATTAACTACTGTTTTTTAATTATTCAATTCTGTATAAAAAACACAAAGCCATTGCGCGGACAGTATAACTATATGACGACTTCTTAATAAACTAAATGATTACTCTAACACAAAAAGCTTACTAAGTTGAATATCAACGTTTTTTTAATCAAGCTTTCAGTGACTTAGATTTAAGGCGCATTAATTTTTTTAAGTAGAAATTAAAATGCACATGATTATTTCAAAACCACCTAACACAAGCTAAGCTGCAGCTGCACGTCGCAAACACATGCGAAAAAACGACAGAAAGCAGCTACAAAAATGAAATAAAAAAGGTAGAGAAATATATTCTAGATTATGAGTCTCACGTCCTCGCATCTGCTCCACGTTCCTTCAAGGTTGACTACTAGCCACCAATAAAGCAACTACAGAAGCTAAAAATTTGCCAAGTTTATGCAGCAAAAATGCCAACAAAACAAAAATAAAGCTAGTGCTAAGTGCAGCATCGAACCTCTGACCAGTAGATTAGTAGTCTCATGGCAATTAGATCGGCAAACAATAGCCAGCATTCAAGCAGAGAACAGATGAGAAGAAATTTTCAAAGCTACAGATCGTGATTATAGCAAAAAAACTATCAAATGAGGACTTTTATTTTGGACTTTGCTTGGGCAAAAGTAGATTCTTACAATTAAACTTCGCTCGCTAGCTCGCAATTGTACTAGATTCCTAGTTTGTAAGAAAAGACAAAGAATCAAAAAATTTCTGAGAGCCATTGCTTGTTGCGTCAAAAAAACGGTGCGTAGCCCTTTCGTAGGAAAGCTTACCTCAACCAGTTTTTTCGATTGAATTTGACTTCTCCGATTTGGGGGAGAGTAGTTTTCGAGAAAAGTCAAACTTTCATTTTTTTTCAACTTTATGACTTTTCCGAGAGTCTGAACTGTTTTTGTGTCCAATTTGCGGTTGTGGTCGCTTGTGCAGGGGAGCTTTTCATAGCCCATTTTTTATATTGATTTCAAAATCTCAGAATTGGGAGGGTAACTTTCTACACAGAGGCGAAGCCCAAAAACCAGCCACGAATAAAGCTAATATATGCTAATAGATTGCCAATTTCATGCAGCAAAAGTAGTACCACGTACAAAAAGACACAGTTTTGCATGCAATAAATTGGAAAGCAAAAAGCGAAATTATGGATAAATTATGCATTTCAAAAAAATGGCGAGATACATTGAGCTGAAACATTTCCGAAATCGGGCTTTTTATCATCGTACTGCTGTTTGAAACGAATAACTTTTTTCGTTTCATTTGATGAATTAAATATGCATCAACTGTGTTAATTTTTAACTAATCAAATGTCAAAACGCATATGATTTTTTACTGCTACAGCAGCCTACCAATTCAAAAGTGCCACTAAAAGTAGCACTTTTATTTGCGACTTAGGTTGAAAAAAAGAAAGTTCTTACTAATACACTTTGTTTCGCAACGGTAATGAAATAAAAAAAAACTCATCCATCTCTCTTTGAGGTTATTATCTCCTGGCGAACAACAAACCTAACAAAAAAAGACAGTTATGCTTTAACTGTTTGCAGAACAATGAAGATATGTTGTGCAAACCTGGAGATCGATGTGACGGTTTTGGTTCCTGAAAAGGGCTGTCACGTTTGGCAGTGAGCCTGCTCTACCACTACCGGTCGCCGTTGACTGATTCGGGTATGCTGGGGACAGAAATTTGTTATGCTGCTTGCTTCCACATCCTCCACCGTTGCTGCTTCCACCGCTGCTGGCCGGACTAACAACTGTGTGTCCAGACACTGATACTAGTCCGGACATGCTTCCAGTACTCGAGTTGTTGTTGTTGATGCTGTTTCCGGTAGTCGCCTGCAACTTGAACGACGAGCCCGCGCATTGCGCTTGAGGAGAAGAGAGTTGCTCGTCGTCGAAGGCATTCGAATCTCTTGTGGTGGCCGAATTCTAAACATTAAGATCCAAATGACCCTTTGCTAGCCTCAGCAAATCGACACTAGTTGTTCATTTAACACAGAGGCGAAAAGTAGATTCGCACCATTTGTGATGCAGAAAGTTTTTAAAAAGAAAAAAATTGAATCGTATCGCGTGTTTTTCAATTAAAAAATCATTGAAACCCTTCAAAATAATTTAAATAAGCGAAAACTTCAAATTGAAACAAACTAGGCAGCAACGCTTTAAACTACTCAGTAGACTTCTGATGAAACAATGAAAAAACATAAATCCGTTTTTCTGATTTTTTAATGAAAGGCCAAAAACAACAGCAAACTTGCTATTCGCTTAACGTGTCTAGAACCGAATTTCACTTCATGAAATTTTTGGCACAAAAATTTTGTCACAAAAACAAAGCGAGAGGATTCAAAAAAGTAACAGAAGGTATAGAGAATCTTGGAACATAAGAAGAAACCTGAAAACGAAATCAATTCAACTAGGATTGACAAAATTGAATTAAAAATTATTTTCAAAAACTCAAAAAAGATGATGTGTTATTTTGAGACATTTATACATTAAGCCGAAACAGCATAAGCCGAAACCTTTTAAGCTTAAAAAAGAGCAAAAAAAAACTAGCTGTAAGTTTGCACTTTATATTTAAAAACCATTTTGAATAGAAAGGTAAAATTTATTTAATTTTACCTATTTAAAAATACCTATTTTATCTATTTTAAAATACTGAGACTCAAAACATACTGGGAAAAAGTATGCATTTGAGAAAGTGATTCCGTGATTTTATGAGACAAGTTACAGGGTCGCCAAGGTGTCTCAAAAATTGAAATCAAATTCAAGCGTGAATGATTACAGCATAAAAGAAAACAGGTGCAGTTTCGAAAAAAGATATATTAGAAAATTTTGCTATAAGAAACTGTATGTTTTCAGAAAAACTTGGTTCGGGATTTTTTATTCAGTTGCGGTGAAATTTTTTCAGCACTGATATTGATGTGCTGCTACTTATTTGCCACTGATAGATTACGCTTCGCAATAATTTGGCATTTACCGAACTGCTGTGGCCACCCTGAGTTAATTACTAGGAATACATCTTTTTTCCGATTTCATGACGCTTGCTAATCACATTTTTTCATACAGAAGCGAAGCGATACAAAACTAAATGACTATGATTAAAAGTAAAAGAAAAGACAAATTGAAAACAAAAGCCTTCAAAAAAAATTGAAACAATTTTGAAAAACCAGAACGAAAAACTTTCAAATATTGTCCGGAATGGATGTTTTATTTGCGGAAAACACAATCAATGGAGTTGAATGAAAAATAGATAACAATTATCGAGCGGCAAGTGAGCTGACAAAAATTGGGCGAATACCCATAGAACCGAAAAAAAGTTGTCATGAAAAACACGGAGCTATAATTTTAATGCACTTTGTAAACAATTCTTTTACATTGAAAATAACAAAAATTAGGCCACAAAACCGTAAAATCAATAAACTGAAATCATTTGATAAAATTTTCAAGCGAAAAAAATTATTCACAAACAAATTAAGAAACAAGGTATCACAAACCATCACCTGAACGGATTGAATTTATCAGAACAAAACCCCTTGTGTTGTGAGTCGATAGACGCTTAAAAAAAGATAGACGCGAAGTCGAGAAAAATTGAATCGAAATATTTTGCTTGTTAGTCTAACTTTAAGCGAGTAACGCAAAAAGCCATCAATTGAGCTATGAAATAGTTTTAGCTATGGAACTAGAAAGGAAATTTGAAAGCTTCCTCGGCACAAGTAAATGCAGAAGGTAAAAATGCAAAAGCTTTTTCCGAACTTTTAACAGTCGTTTCGCTAGTAAAACGGTAGTGAATCAAATTTCTGAAAACTTCCTACTCAAGTTCTAGGAAACTATAATTTATCTGCTCAAACAGACTTTCACACCATTCGGCAACTCTGGTAACATAGCTAAACTCAGCGGCTTTCACTAGTTACAAAGCAGCACAGAAAAGGTCAAAACTAAAATCCGATAATATTGTAAGCAAGCGTCGACGTTAGTTGCGTTGACTTTATACTTGGAAGCATTGCCTTAATACTCAATGCTTCAAATTGGGCCCTTGAAATGAAGCCTTATTTAGTTTCAATCAGCAAACTTTCAACTTACAACATCTCGAAGGGAGGAGTTTTTGGCTTTTCGAATCTCTTCCAGGATTCCATTGTATCTGTCCAGGTCTTCTTGCGCCTTCTGGTTCTGAAGGGCGATCTTCTCCGAAAACTTCCTCGGGTTACTCGAACTCATGCTTCTAATTACTAACACACCAACTTCACCTTTTGCTCCACTCCATGTTTAAACCGTATCATTTCACTCCATGTAATCTAGAAGTATAAAAAACATTACAAATTAGTTTTAGAAATAGTAAATTAGAAAACGAAACAAGACTGCTCGTATCAGGGCAAATCCCTGAATGTTCTGACTGCCTTTTAAGGTATATGGAGCATTAATAACATAAAAAATTTCAATGTAATAGAAAAAAAAAGTTTTGAAAAAATTTGAGATTTTATGTAAAAACATCCCCCACACGTCATATTAAGTACAAAGTGATAAATTTTGCGCCTATTAAAAAATCGATTATGGCATAAAAGCATCCTTGAACCAATTTGGAACGATTTCTAAGACGGATTAAATCTCGCTTACGCGTTAATAGCGCGAAATTTATCGCGCGTTAATTGTCCCATATTTTAAACCCCCATAACTTTATGGAAAACAATCACAGGTAAAATATCTTTTCAAATTCAAGCTCAGGACAACAATAGCTTTCGAATGATATTTAAAAAATTTCGTCAAAAATGGCTAGTTAAAAAGTCGAAATTTGTCTGAAGAAAAAAACCCAACCGAATACAAATTTTCCGTAACTTTCGTATCGAAAGTCGGAACAAAAAGAAAATAAAATATCAATGGAACAAAGATAACTATGCTGAAAAAAATATCAAAATATCTTGTCTCGATCGATCTGTCAAGTATACTGAGATTAGGTGATGAATTGTTTTAAATTCATTGAACAAAGTAAGTTAATAACAGACAAATGACGCATCTAAATTTTACATATGTACATTCTTAACGTGTTTTACGATAAACTACAGAGGTCACGGAAACAAAGAACGCGCCGCAACGGGTCATTGCATGTCTCATATAGTTTGTAATAAAAATCTCAGCATTTGAACTTTTAGAATTAAGTGAAGTAAAAAGTATTCAGATTGTAAATATTCACGCGCTAATATTTGCAATCAGGTCCTAAAAGGCTATTTTCGTCAAATTTTTGTCAAATGTAGCCATGGAAACTTTTTAAAAAGTTATACGAAGGCATATTTATAGATAACTGTGGATGCTGCTAGCGCAGAAATTATCAATCTGACTCGTCATAATGAAGCCCAACAGCTTGTTTGCGCTTTTTGACACTTGGGTTGACCGCACTCATTCCTGGTTTCTTGGCGCTAATTTTTTTCATAGCCGCTTCAGAAATCTGCGATGGCGGCTCCTGTGACTCAACAGCAGAGAACTTATTCAACCTTCTAAGTTCTTCTGAGGCGATGGAGAAGTGTTGAACTAATTTACTGAAAAAACGCTGCAAGCAGGTCTGCGCCTCCTCGCCTTTCAACATATCGAATAAAATTGGGGACAAAAGAGTCGGCGACGTTGCTGAAATGGTGTGCGAATAATCTGCCCAGCCAATCACTTTCAAAGAATTTTGCCGAAGTGACGCTAAAAGACGTTGTCTAACGCCAGGGCTATTTAATTTGCAGAATCTCCAAATATATAAACCATCACTGATTAATGCTTCATTCGAAACACTATTCACACAAATTGAGAGACAGTGGTCTTCCGAGTCGGTGTCGAGCCGGAAAAAGACCTCTGTACCCTGCAAAATGGCATGAACATCAGCCATTACCTAGAAGAAAACGTAAGACTATTTACCGTAATTTCCATTCATGGATTTCAAAAAACCTGACTATGTTGCTGACGCCTCAGTAATAATTGATCCGACTACCCACGAAGATGGTAGGAACAAAGTGCACTTTCCCGTTATACCCAGCCAGCAAAATAAAGCGCTTCCCTATCATAATTGTTAAAGCAGAGCATTATGGGAAAGGGCCGACTAATGGTGAAAAGTAGATTTGTCGCACAATATGAGGGGCCGCAAAAAACTTCGAAGGAGGTGATGTCTATACACATGACCTTCTTCCAATTTCTTAAAAAACCTCATATTACGCTAAAATCTCTTTTTATCGTGATTCAAATTCAATTTGAATCACAAGCTCTATTTGAATCGCAAAATCCAAAAAAATCTCAGAATCAAAACTTTTCTGATTATCATTTAACTCTTCACTCAAACGCGGTGAGGAGCAAAAACAAAGACTACATTAAAATGGCGGTGCTTACCTATAGAGTCGAATTCTCGGATAGCCAAGAAAACTTAAAACTTCTTGTTAAGGTAATCAGAAATAAAACAAAATTTGGACTACCGTTTTTCGAATGATTAAAATATACTACCGTGTAACGCACCTCCGGTGTTTTGAATTTTCGACAAGTTATAAAAACAGCATAAAGGAAATAAAATCTGCATCATTTGAGTGAACTCTGACAATCCCAATTACAGGGTTGGTCATTTCAATTTTTTAAAGTTTTCTATTCGATTTTTTTAAACCAAACTTTGAAAACCATAAAATTTTGTGGGAAGTTTTTTATATCTAAGTTCTTTGAAAATTTTTTTATGACATGAAAAACGTCACATCTCGGAAACTAAAAGCAATTGAAAAATCGCATTTAGACTCATGATTTGCAACTCCTGAGAGTACTCTCACAGTACCTAACTACAGCGTTCGGATTTTTAGATGTAAATTTTCTGAAAAAAAATGTGAAAAAACCAAAAAAACGTCATATCTCGAAAACTGCAAAAGTTTGAGCAGTCATATTTGGAATCAAGATTGGCAACCGAGAGACTACTCTGATAGACCCCAATTACCGGGTTAGGAAACCAAATTTTGAAAATTTTTTAAATTTACTTAATCAGAAAACTATTCGAAAAAATCACACAAACCGTCCACCGCGAAAAGTAGTGATTTGAGCAGTCATATTTGGAGCAAAGATTTGCAGCCCCTGAATTACCCTGACAGAGCCTCACTATATAAATCTCAAACTTTTTGATTTCTAAGTTCTTTGAAAAAATTATTAAAGACGGGATAACCATCGTCACATCTAAGAAACTAAGAGCATTTGAGCAGTGGCACTTGAAGGCAAGATTTGCACCTTGGAACTCCTGAGTAAAATGACAGTAAAAATTTAGTTTTTTAAAAAATTTTCGAATAAATCACAAAAACGTCAGATCTCGAAAACTACAAAGATTTGAGCATTCAAAAATTTTCTGATTATCAATTAACTCTTCACTCGAACGCGGGGAGGAGCAAAAACAAAGACTCCATTTACATGGTGCTGACCCGTAGAGTCGAACTCTCGGATAGCCAAGAAAACTTAAAACTTCTTGTTCAGGTAATCAGCAACAAAACAAAATTTGGACTACCGTTTTCCGAATGATTAAAATATACTACCGTGTAGTAGATTATTTGAAACATTTCAATAAATTTAATAGCAGTTTCCTGAGAATCAAATTTCTGAGAAAAGTTCTCGATAACGACATTATACTAGACTTTTTACGGTTTCGCGTGCCTGATAACGGTATTTTTTCGGATCAAGCGGTGCACAGCTTCCAACTAAGACTCTTGAGATCTGAGATAAGCCAGGCAAATGCGGATAGGGCCAAGGCATCGGGTAACCTAGTAAAAGCAAGAGAGGTAGTGAGAAGGGGTATAGATGAGAAGTGGTGGCCTTCGGTAATTATCTATCTGAAATGGCAGGCAAGGTGTAGTGTCAACAACCTGATGAGCCGACACAAAAGAAAGCTTGAAAAAACTTTCGGAAAGAGAGGATAGACCATTAAAAACTTGGATGAAAGGGCAGTTAGAATTTTAGATAAAGTGATTTTGCCGCTTTGGGTGCGGGAAGTCTTAAGTGTTGGACCAAAACATCCGGTACGAGACAAATTGAATGAAATTCACTTCCTTGCTGACATTGATAGTTTTTTGTCTTCTGAACTGAAGTTAAATAGAATACCCGGAGAAAAATTATGTGAGATTGAAGCAGCTGCAAAGATATATGCTGAGAATGTGAAACAAAGGCATTGGAAAAAAAACCAGAAACAATGGATTGAAAATCAATTTCCAAAAAATTGGTCTGACAGGGTAGTGTTTCAAACTCTTAATAAGATCATTGAGGGAAAGAAAAATTTAGAGTTGAAGGCATCAGAACCGAGAAATCATAAATGGTTGAAACTCTCACCACCCCTTCTTACAAGGTAATATCGAGGCAATCCGTCTCAACTGTTAGCTGCAAAGGTTCGGCTAATATCCGGGGCACAAACAATTAAACAAGAAAATTGAAAACATGCTTGCCATCCCTCAAAACTTCCTTTGCTCGTGAACTGAGATCCAAAGTGGTATACAAGCTTACATGTAGTGGATGTAACTCCACCTATGTCGGTCAGACAGTCCGACATTTAGCCACTAGGGTCGATGAACACCGCAAAGGGGACTCCTCAGTAAGACAACACTTGTTAGAATGTAATAAGGAGGTAGGCGGTACTGCTGAGCTGAAGTCAGAGATTATTGACCAAACAGCCAATACTCATAAGCTACTGACACTAGAGGCTTTGCATATTTGGAGGGAGAGGCCGAAGATCAAGACACGCGATGAATTCAGGAGCCGGGAATCAACACTGAAATTATAGTCTAAGTATAACATGGCTTAAATAAAAAAAAACTGACATTTCAGAATCAAAAATGTTCCCAAATCGAAATTTTATAACCAAAAAGAAGAAAAAACTAAAAAATCTACTGGAAAATGATGTTCATGATTACGTAAAATGACAGTAAAGTGACAGTAAAAATTTAGTTTTTTAAAAAATTTTCGAATAAATCACAAAAACGTCAGATCTCGAAAACTACAAAGATTTGAGCATTCAAAAATTTTCTGATTATCAATTAACTCTTCACTCGAACGCGGTGAGGAGCAAAAACAAAGACTCCATTTACATGGTGCTGACCCGAAGAGTCGAACTCTCGGATAGCCAAGAAAACTTAAAACTTCTTGTTCAGGTAATCAGCAACAAAACCAAAATTTGGACTACCGTTTTCCGAATCATTAAAATATACTACCGTGTAGTAGATTATTTAAAACATTTCAATAAATTTAATAGCAGTTTCCTGAGAAAAGTTCTCGATAACGACATTATACTAGACTTTTTACGGTTTCGCGTGCCTGA